ATATCAGGTTGCCTTGACGTTCTGGAGGCAGTCTGCATGCGACAGAAATTGTGCCAAGCATTGGCAAACGTTTTAAATCTGGATGATCTAGATGAGCAAGTGCAATTCACTTGTGTTCTTTGGTGGAAACAACATGAAACAATCCATGTTTCTTTGGCTAGGGCTAGGACTGCCTTGGAGTCTTTTTGCCTTGGAATCCAGGTGGAACTTCGCCGTGGAGCGATGAATCCCGAGAACTGGCAGGTGGGTCTGGACCCTTGGGGCACCAAACATCTGGTTCCCACGGTGGGTTCCAACGGCTCACTAACAGCGTGTTTCGGGATGGAAACAGGGAGGGTTCCCTTCACGGGTCCGTGGACGTCCCTTCACGTGCCTTCCATCCGATTCCCGAGACGACCCGTCGATTCCCGAGACGCGGTGACGCAGGTGAAGTCGGTGCCTGCGCACGAGGGCGGCATCGCCTCGCTGGACTGGTCTCCGAGCTCCTCTCCCGCGGTCCTGGCAACAGGTTGCGAAAGCGATCTTGCTTGGCTGGAATCGTGTGGTGGGTGCAGAAGACACATGCAATACCCATTAAATTCTAATGAACTACTGTATATAATCTGTATATTATATCGCTTGAATGCATAATACTGGACACTGGATTGTGACCATGCCTGTTGATGTGAAGCGATACACTCTGTGAAAAGGAATCAGTTTCAGATGTTCTTTCTTGTCATTCGTGTGCAGGCCCTGCTGTGGCCAGAGCGCATGGTCGATGGCTCGGGGTCTGGCACCCGAGAAGCTGCGAAAGCTGCGAAACTGCGAATCAAAAACTGTGCCTTAATGTGTCTTTTGGTAGTGTTTTTAGCTTAGACCGTCTCTATGTGTCTTTGTTTTGGTTTGTTATGCATGTGTTCACCCATGCAGAAGTGGGGATGTGATATTTGATGATATTTGTCACTAGTCCTTTACATGTGAAGTTGATAAATAGGCTTGAGATGTAACGGTGAGCACGCTTCCAGGAAGAGACAAATACACACTCTATTTTATAGTCTAACAGACACATATACTGTAATAAATACGAACATGCATGCTGAACTCCTGAAATACAACACCAGAGATCCAACTTTTTAAAGTTTTTGAGACATACTGTATGAGACCTTTATGGGGATAGTAAAACATTTGAAAAAAAACATGTGATGCAAGTTCACCACTCTGAGGTTTCCCATTTAGTTTGTGCTTCCTTTTCATATATTGCTTTGTGAACAAATACCACATCTGCAGAGACAACAGTGAAACAACATTCGCTTTTGGTAGTTCGAGCGTATTCAAGAAACAAGGCGTCTTCTTAACAAAAAGTATTTCTGGTTCACATTTTTTCTTCGTCAACAAATTACACATTCAGAAAGCAGCAAACCTTTGGGACTCTCAATCAAAGATAGGTGGAGAGACTCAAGCAAGGAAGACAAAGACAAGTGCAGGTCCGGATGAGACAAATGGACAGCTTAAGGTTGGCAATCCTTGAGATGATGGTTTCATTTTGTTTCCACGCAGAAAGGGCTTTCGCACGCTGGCCATTGGATACCCGTCCTTCAAATAGACTGAAATGCCTGCGGTTTGCTTTGAATGTCAAGCTGAGACTGAGATCAGTAGGCATCGGTGCATATCATGGCATATTATTTCAGCATATTATAGCATCTCGTTATATCATATCATAGCAATCATGACAGTTACCATCCCATCATATCCCATCCAACTCAGCAGTCCCAAAGTCCAAGAGGCTAGACGCTTGGCGACATGTGGAGCTGATGGACAGTTGATCATATGGCGTGCCTTGTCCCGATTCTCGCCCCGACGTCCGGTGAGCTGGGTGACCTTACGAGCGTCCCAACTGGCTTCACCAGTTCTACATAACATATGGCGAGACGCCAGCATCTTCCAACCAGTTCGTTTCTGCGGATTCAAGGAAGGTACCAGTCGTTTTTGCATGAAAGGGGACAAGAGGCCTAAGAAGCCTCCACAGTGCCGTGTTCTGCTGGCACATTGCAGGTATTGATGCCAAGAACGATTCCTTTCATCGGGAGCACGTGCTGGATGGTGACCAGATTGGTGGCAATGTGGTGCACTTAGAGCAAAAATGGATTGCCAACCCGAGTGCCTGCCTTGCACGTTGTTGAATGATGTTGAATTAGGATTGCTTTAACAACCGTCTACAGTTATTTTTTCATTCGATGTTTCAGAAACTCCCTCGAGGTGCAACAACTTGTGTTTCATTCAACTCCTCCCAAGCTTGGTTTTCAACCCTCAAGGAAGCGGTCAGCCAAGCTGCCAATGAGGACCTTTGGTGTTCTTTGTCCTGGCGGCCCAATGTTGGCCTGCCAGGAAATTCTCTGGGTGCAGTTTCCAAGGTGGGCTCCCCAGAAACGAGCTGAAACCAATCCGGTCAACCACTCCGCTCGACTCGACCAGTTGCAAGGGCTAGGGCTCCTGTTGGGCTCAGGGCCCAAAGGTGGTTCCATGACGGCAACGACAGTCAAGTGCTTTTGAATCGATTGGGATGCAGTCGGGCCGGGAGCGGGTCAACAGCATGTTGCCAGGAAGGGGAGGTCATGATCCTCTCTCAGGACGCTGCTCAAGTTGATTCCTGTGAACAGTGGATACTTCAGTTTCTTGGGACTTTGCTTCAGGATGCCATACGGTTTGGTCTTTTGGACTGTTTCGGGGCATTAAAGTTCTAAAGAAACCATCATGAGCACCTCGTCAAATTCCATGGGATGGTTGTTGCTCCACGCAGGACGCCGAAGGCATGGCCTTTGCTCCTCGACAGCGCTGGTCGCTCGCTCAGGGAGCTGGATGCCGCTTGACCTGGACCAAGGCCGCATGGAGATCTTGGACAACGGCACAAGAACGGCACAAATGAAACGAATCCAACCCAATAGCGGCTATAGCGATGGCCTCCACCCTAGCAGTGATGTCCTCCAACCTAAGAGTGATGGCCTCCAACCTAAGAGCGATGGCCTCCAACCTAATAGATGCCTCCAACCAATATCAATGTCCGAAGTCAAGTTATTCTGTGAACTTTGCCTTTCCTGAAAGAGCGCTTGGGTTTGAGACAGAGAGGTGATGGAGCATTTGATGAAGTCAGGAGTTTCCGTTGTGCAGCTCCCGCGGTCCGATTGGAAGCGCCATGAGCAGCCAATCTCACAAAAAACAGAGCCAGACCAAAGCTTCCAATCCCAATCAAAGTCCACCTCACGATCCCCCAATACTAGAATCCCCAAAAGGTAGTGGCAGCAGGGACGTTGCGCTAAGCGGCCAGGCAGGGACGTTGCTGGCTATTCTGGTGAGTCCCGAGAAGTGTGTGCTCTTGAAGGAGAATCCGAACGCCCTCTCGTCGGGCCCTGTTCTCGTCCTTTCGGTGGAATGAGAAATAAGAAAGTTTGAAAGACTCCAACACTGTATATATATATATATAAAATGATTTGGATTGCACTCTTGGCATCACCCTTCAGCAAAAAGGAGCTGAAGATTCGATGTTCTGATCCATCAGTCCACACACTGAGCCACAGAACTCAGCTCTTCCGCTGCACGATGCAGGAGTCCTCTAGTGGTGAGTGGAAAGAAATTGCGGCTGTGGATGGATCATAGTTTTCTTGCGCACAAAAAGAAAGCCAGTGCGGTCCCCGTGGCTGAGTGTTTTGGACTCCTTGTGTCGCCTTTTGTGGCCTTCTGCCTGGTTGGAATTCACCGGAGCGCACCAAGTGACAGGCTTGGTAAGATTGATTCGAGAGCTTTCGGCCCAAATGTCGCGGTTGGCAAGCATGGAACCGTGAGCCATGTTGAGTGCACTGAAGCGCCCAAGCTGCAAGTTCCAGAGTGCGAGTTGATTTGCGGCCAAAGCCTTTACGGCCAAGCTCTCGCTCGCGCTTTTCCAGTGCTTTTTCAACGTGGGAGAATCAGACCTCACCCATTGTGGGTCCTCTTGGTCCATCTTGGTCCCATGCAGCACCCAGGACAGTGCCGGCGCAATGGTCGGACCGCTTCTACCATGGCCAGCGGATCGGTCTCTTCCGCTGCTCGATCGGTGGAGACATCGCTATTAAGGTTGGAGGCCATTGCCAAGTAGGGTTTTCCTTTCATGAGCTTTAAGGTAGAATCTGGATGAATCCAACCCTCCCCATGGTGGAGTGTAAAACATTCTACAAATCTGGGGTTTTATTCATCTATATGGTTTTACGTTCAGTTCCTGGAGAACAGAATGCCATGTGAAGCGAACTGCTGGCGACGTCGCTTCTGTTGGTCCATGACAACCATGATCCTGTGCCTAAGTTCAATAAGTGCCCACCTGTGGTTTTCATGCTCTTGAACTCAACTCTGCATTTCGAGGAAAATTGTTAAACGGCATTTGGACATGACACCGCTCAGCGGAGGAACCCTAATCCATGGTCGTGCCGAAGTTGGTTTGAGGCGTAGGTTTGGACGCTTCAACTGGGCACCGCCCACCAGATTTGTGCGAAGCACCTGTCATTGACTCGGTTTTGAGCCATGATGTTTCGCTTTGGTTGGCAAAGTTGGCAAGTGTTTGGGTGCTGGACCAAGGAGTTGTGATGCTCTATGGTCTCGCTCGACTCATTTGCCACATGTGGCCTTCACCCACAGTACCAGGTGCCCGAAGGGGACAGTGGGTCCTAAAATCAATCTTGATACAAACCCTTGTTTGGGAGCACACCTGTCGGTAGAAACCACAAGACAACTGCTAACCAAATTGGGGGCGCGGATTGGAGGTGCTTTTTGTAGGTTGGTATTTGTTTGGAGTGTATGTGCGATGCCCAGTTCAAAATGCCACACGACAAGCGATCTGCATCGAAAAAAACCAGACACATGCAAACAATGAGCGCTGAAGAGGTGCTTCACAAGAATATGGCATTTGGATGCATTTGGCAATTTCTTCGTATTCATTCTTTGGCAAACTGTTTTCTGTGGTTCATTTTGGAGTCACTTCCTTCTACCTCTTTGGTTGAAGGCTTTTCAAAGGCAGCATTCGATGACCATCCAGGCATTGCGAGCTTTTTGCTGATGATCATAATTGCAGCGGCCGCAGAAGTCTTCCTCCGTGTGAGGCCGGTCGGTGCTCCAGCGGTCCCGCACAAAAAGGGCTCCTTCACACTGATCGGTGTTTTGATTGGGTGCAAGAAGGATGCTGTGCTGCTGAACCTGGGTGGTAACAGTAACCGACACCAGTAGCAGGTTACATATTTTGCACAAACAATTAAATACATATTTTTTTCAATTATAATATATATATATATATATCATCCAAAAACACGACAAAACGATCTTTATCGAGTTGTGTTTGTGTTTGTGTGGGGGAAGGCAGGGTGATACGTCAAATCCAGGCCAGACCTTCCTGGTGAGCTCAGCTGCCTTGCAGCCTTGGTACTTCAGCTGCTGGATGTCTTGGGCTCTGGAACTTCGAGTGAAGCACCCTTGGCATTGTCTGGTACCGAGAGCGCCGAGTCATGAGGACCATGGAGGACTATGGAGGACCATGGAGGTCAGGCGATCTACCTGGGCAATTTCTTGTTTTTTTCAATACTTCAAGCGTAGCGGCAGGCTTAGCCACTCGCATTGGCTCCCGGTGACGCCTATGTGATCACCTATGAGAACACATTGCACATGCAGACATGCGTACACCAGAATAACATCAGAATACGCTAGTGTTTGCTCGTTTCCCTGGCCGAGATAACATATCTTTAGGTCATGGCTGGCGCGCAGCCACATGCTCTGGTCGCTTTGCACTCCTGCTTTTGGATGGAGACCAATTTTCGCAGGTGGGGGTGGGTTGAATTGGGTTTGGCGATCTGCAGATGTTCAGGAATCACACACAGCAGTCTGGTTTGGGTCTTAATCATGAAGAGGGGAAGCACTTTGTTTGTCTTCAATGGTACTTGTATGGCTTGGTTGTGGAATCAACTGCAAGCTTGGAGGCGCATATCTGCTGACAGTGCTAGTTTCCCACACTACCCTGCTGGGATCGCTACTTCAACAGGAGGCCTGGATGCAATGCCGGAAGTTCTGGACCGGGATTCTGCGGGAACACCGTTTGGGATCGCATATGTTTTGGATCAACCCGGTTTGCAGAGTAGGAAAAACACCCAGGAGTCTCGAAACGTCCCACAGAAAGCATCTATATACCTTACTCAGTGCGCCGTTCTTCATCTCACAGGATATCACAGGATCACCTGGGCATCTCGCGGGCAGATGGCATCTGTGCATTCCTCACCCGGCCATCCGATTCACCGCTTCCCAGTAGGCCATCGATACGTCTCTCTGTTTCTGACCCAATCAGTCCCCGTCAATTTCCCATCACCATCATCAGAGGTCTCTGCTGCGTGATGACTGAGCACCCAGGCCTTCAGCTCCTGGGTGCTGCGCGATCACTTGATCGGATTTTTCTTCTTTGCCCTTGCGAGCTTCGCTGCCGTGCTGCACTGGAACGCCTTGATGCGGCAGATCTACTGGGCCGAGCGCCGCGCAGCTCTCGAAGCGCAGGCGTCCGACGTCAGACGGGGTGGCGATGGGCGAACACGAGGAAATGGTTTCGCAAAGGAAATGGTAAGAATCTAGTCCCAACCTCAGAATACAAGTTAACATAATGGAATACAATAGAGCATCATATCACATCATATGACAACATCTAACTACTTCAACAACTGAACAAACCTCAGGAACTGCTCAGGTGTTTAACTGTCCACGGTATTTCAGACTCTTCCAACCGCCAGGCATGGGGTGAGCTCATTGCCCTGACCTGTGATTTTGACCTGGTGGTCGGGTCTGTGGAAGATCAGGCCCGGCTTCAGCAAAAAACTTCAAAGCCTTTAAGCGTTTTTTTTCTCCGTTTGTGACACGTGCACATCCAGTAAAATGGTGCTTTTCATGCCACGAAAGTGTGGAGAGGAGATGAAGGTGACAAAATGAGACATTTAACGACCATTCTATGACCATTCTGGATTCTGGCAAGGACAATGAACTTACTAACTTGTTGCACCGTAGGGAGAGTGAAGAGAGTAGTTGTCCGTGTCCGTGCCTGGCTGTAGGTCAAGCAAGACACAATCCTGAGAGTCTTAGAGCCAACAGCCAAGAGCTTGAACATCCTGGGTCGAGCTCTTGAAGCTGGTGAAGCCTTACAGAGCTTCCTGAGTTGCTTGGAACAAACCATCAGATCCCTTGGATGATCCGGCGGGGTCTTCAAGATCCGGACCCCGCCGGATCATTGAATGATTTCAACATCTACCCTTCTTGGACTCTATGATCTCAGAGAAGGGGGTTACCCTTTGAAAGAGCTTCTTGAATTAATTTCTATGGACATTCTGTCACGAAGGGTGTGCCGGTGGGTGTCAAAAGAACTCAACGGTCTCCCCCAAATAGTTCCATGAATATTCATACTGATAATTGCATCAAATGCATTAATCAAAGGCATGAGTGGGGGGTCTGGGGGGCAGTAGACCGTTGGGGGAACAATCCAAGAGACGAGGGAAGAGAGAAAGCCAGACCATCATTTGTAGGATGAGGAACCACTGACCCAACCGACAGATACCGACAGCATCCTAGACTCCAAACAAGGAGGCGAAAAGCAGAAAGGACAGGGAGAAGAGTTCCACAGTGGAAAGTTCATCTTGAGGTGCGGGACTTTCTACTCACTGACAAGAAGACATCTAGCAAAGAGCTCCAGGCTTGCGACTTCTATCGAACCATGAGAACTCCCACGTGTTTGTTCGTCACAATGACTCGAATCCTTCAAATGCCTCCAGTGAAGGAGACTCCGCCGCACCGCCCGCGTCAAACCAATCATCACACCCCTGGGTGCGTGGCAGACCGCAGACCGAGCAAGGCGACGAGCCGAAGGCACTGTCCAAAAGCCTGGCAGAAGCCAAAGAGCTTGAAGGCGATGGCCTCCGCCTACTAGCGATGGCCTCCAACCTAATAGCAATGACCTCCAACCTAATAGCAATGGCCTCCAATCTAATAGATCCTAATAGCGATGGCCTCCACCTAAGAGTGGACAGTGCCAACCTGCGCCTGGAAGGCTTTCTTCTGCCCACGCGACTCCAAGGCCCGGCGCAGGAGGACTGGAGCAGAGCGGAGACGGTCATGCAGCAATGCAGAGCTTTTTTTTCTTGGGGGGGTCCTGCAGCAGCTGAAGATATATACTCTTATAATATATATATATATATGGAAAACAATATATATATATTTCTGCTGAACATAAATGACCAGTTATTTCGGTTTCCTGACCTTCCCATTTTGTAGTTTGTTTGTTCACGTGAGGCACCCTGTAGACCCAGCAGCTTGAAGCCAGTTGTGAGCTTGGAACTTCCTCATCAACTCCTTCGCTGCTTTTCGGTTTGTCTTCCTGCGGGCAGGAGGTGCAAGTCCACTTTCTGGTGGTCCGCAAGCCTCGCGTGGATGCTGACACCTCAATACCTCTTCCGAAAGGGCAGACGCTTTGAGAAAATCAGCACCTGGTGGATGTTGGCGGAACGTTGTGTACCGAAGTGTCTTTCCAGTGCCTTATCTAGAGGCAAACATGCACATTGACATGCCCTTTGAAGGATTGAAGGGGCTGAAGCCGATTCGTGTTGGTATTGGCGGCTGTTCTACTAAGTATAGCATGTTTTGGTACCAAGGCCTCACAAACTAATGTTGTTCCCTAGATTTTATCAGATCCTCCTCCTCCTTCCTCCTTCCTCGCCACCTCAACAGCAAGCGCCAGATCGCAGTGGGCACTACCGGACCTCAACGGCAAGTGCCAGAATCGCAGTGGGCACTACCGGACCTCAACCGCAAGTGCCAGAATCGCAGTGGGCACTACCGGACCTCAACCGCAAGTGCCATCACACACAACCACAGTCACACAACCACAAAAACGCAAGCACAACCACAAGCACAACCACAAGCACAAACACGCAATCACAAACTCACAAGCCACACACACACAACCACATACACATTCACACAACCACAAGCACAGCCACAAGCACGCAACCACAAGCACACGATCACAAAATCACAAGCACACGGCCACAAACACACAGCCACAAGCACAACAACAAGCACAGCCACAAGCGCACAGCCACAAACACACAATCACAGGCACACAGCCACAAGCAAGATCGAAAGCCACAAAGCCCACTTCCACGGCAACATGCTTCTCACCATGGGCATGAACACAAATGACTGACATGTCATCGTGGGGATCAATCGAAGTAAAGTAAAGTTTTTATTAGATCAGTGTTGACAGGTTGTTTCGTCAGACGCATGACCTTGAATAGACCTTCATTTCCTTCAGGGCTACGGTTTTGCGCAGCAATCTTTCTTATAGGTTTTCATTTTCAGGCTAATGTTCGACTGAGTACTCTGTTCTAGAAAGCATCCTTCCTCCACCAGTCACACAGGTTCCGGCTCCAGTCCCAGGAGGGCGGGTTTATTTAGAAGGGGGACAACAGAGCCTGACCATGTATTCTTTTCAGAGATTGAACCTTAAAGGACTTGTTGCAGGGTAAGGCCTGAAGGTTTCTTTTTTAAGGTCTGGCAGCTTTACTACATGTACCACATGTGCCAGTGTTGTGCAGACTTTCAACACAGGCAATGAAGGAAACACCTCAAGAAATCGCACTTGAAAGCAATCAGTTGACCCTAGAGCTGGCCTTCTCTCCTCTCAAACCTAGATGCTTCACTTCAAAGAACCAAATTTCCGGGAATGCATCAATTGAACCAACGAACGGTTGAACCGCAACAACAGAATGGATCAGTCTCAGAGCCGAAGCCCAGTGGAAGTCTCAGAATGCAACATCGGATAAGATAAAGTCTAAGTCAATCTAAGTCAATATAATACGTGTATATATATGTATATATACACAGTATATATATATATATATGTCGAGAGTCGCTGATAAACCTTCTTGAAAGACGTTGCTATTGCAAGAGCAACCAGACTCATCGAACAATCAAACGGCCCTCAGCTATCCTAGATTGCAAAATTCAATATGGATACTGTATACATTTTCAGCCTACATGCTTTCAACTAGCCACTTTTGGGTATGACTTAGTGCCGCCATCCAAGGACCTTGGTGGCGAGCTATCTCGTGGGCGTGCGGATTGATCATGCTCAGGATCCACCTTCAGAACTGCTACCTCCTCCTGCAGAGCCAATGCTTCTCAATCTGAAGATCTGGGGCTAAAGGGGGTCTAAGCCCAAGTCAGGACAAATTGCAGCCTTTTTGAGTGTTGAACAATAGGAGAGACCTTCCAAAGACCTTCAGTAGAAGAGGGTGAAATCGATGGGTTAGAAGATGCAAACACATTCCTCTAGAATCCTGTAGATCCATTTATATAGTTGGGTGGGGATGATGGCCTCTCAGGTTGCATCGAGCATACAGCAACGGCTCGAACTGCCTCTCAGTGGCTGAGACGACCGTCACAGGTGCGGAGACGACCACAGGTGAGAGTCTCCTAGAGAGTCTCTTCACCAGGATTTTGAGATGCTGAGAATTCACTGCCCTGGGGGGTACGATCATTTGATATCATTTGCATCCAGTGTTTACAAAGAGCGACAGTATTTTACTTGCATGGCGAGGCCTTATAGATGGACATAAGCCTCACAATGTGAGTGCACGTCCTGTATGTTTTCAAGTTCCAAGTCAACTCAAGTCTTGCTCAGGTGCACTGTTCAGCACAGTCGAGCTAAATGGCACAGGCGCGGAAGTGGTTGCCTTGCCATGTCTAACTCATGCAGCATTCGCATCGTTCGACTCGAATAAAGAAACAGGTCGCAGGCGGTCACAGGTTTCGAAGGTCTTATCAAGGCCGCTTTCATCAAGTTTTTGCAATATTTTCAATCAGAAGACCTAATCCAATCTAACAAGTCAACAAAAGACGTCCAGCGAAGGCCTTGGAAGCTTGCTAGTGGCTTGGCATGCACAATTGTTGTCCCATGATGCACTGATGACTGGTGATGACTGGCTCAACAAACATTTGATGTTAGGTTACTTTTTGAGGACATGGCCAGCCTTCAGCAACTCCGGTCATACCTCTTGTAGAGAGAACATCTTGGCAACCTGACGGAGAAGGTTTTCGCCTATCTTGGTTGTCTCTTCCCATGAAAAAAGAAAACGGAGCATCATCAGCCTTTCAGGAGGTTGGCCTCAAAGAACACTGGCTGATCCCGCCGGAGAATCTGCAGCTCCACTGCACCAAGCTGCTGGGCTCTGGTGGCTTCGGCCTGGTCTGTGAGGCCCGTTCGGACGGTCGCAGTGCGCGAGCGTCCGTGAACGGACGGCGGTTTCGGCCGAAAGAGAGGTAATCTCATATATGCCATGCATGAAGATAGGATATCTCATGGTTTTCGACACTTGAGATCAAAGTGCGAAGAGATGAATCATCGACTCAAAGGTCGTCCCCAACATTGGGTGTCAAGGTAAGTTGGTCACAGGTCCCAACCCTCAGAAACATTGATCACAAGACACTTGTTTCTAATGGCTTCTAGTTACTACTAGTAAGGCACTTGTTCCTAGTAGCGTGGCACTTGTTACTACTAGCTACCAAACCGAACACAAGATTTCATACTTCCTCTTTCTGCAAGGCCCGCGGCCTTTGTCGGCATTTCGGTAGGAAGCATTGAGGGGTTGCAAGGACCAGTGGACAATTCTCCAATTGGTAACCTGTCATTTGCGTAATTTTTCCGCAAATCAGCGATAGATGACAGTCATTTTGCATGCATGAAAACAACATGAAACAACCGACAACTTTTCTCAACTTTTCAGAGTTGCTCCAGTAGCCTTGCATAAATAGATTAGGTACAACTCCAAATAATTACTGACAGTGCAGAACCTGACAATTGGAGCTTCGAGGAATGCAACCCAATTGACCGATTTGGGTCAGTAAATCCGATTGAAAATGGATTTTCGATGATTCGAAGCACCACGATCAAACTCTGGGAGACAGCTCGAACTCACACGCTCACAACCGGGGTGCCACAACCAGTGAGCAACTTCTTCCTGTTCAGGGCACGTTCTGTGGTGCCACGGTAGCCTTGAAATTCCCGAGGACCCCGACGTGCGATTTCGGGGTTTGCTCCAGTGGACGGCTTCAGTCAAGGAGGAAGACAGTTTCTAGTAGCTTCTTGTTCCTAGGATCATATGATGTCAATGTCAATGAGATTGAATGAGGTTGACCTCACCTGGAGTAAACTGAGATTGACCAGTTGCATACCAGAGGAAGCCAGGCTTTGGGTTCTTTGTTTCATACTCTCACGAGAAGACTGATATGCGACTGAACAAAGTGTCGATGCACCAGGAAAGGCATCAAAGATTGCAAGTTTCCGACTTGTGAGTCCCGAGAGTATATTCTTTTCATGCTGCTTGGTTGAACAGTCAGACCGCTTTTCATTGGACGCCGTCGGATACCGGCTGCTTCGCGCTTGAAGGGCGAAACTCCTTCAGTTGTGGATCACACAGCCAAATGTCGATCTTCCCCACTGGAGCCTTTGGGACACCCTGAGCTGTTCCAAAAGGCAGGCTGGTCTCTTTGTAGGCTGCTCTTTGTGTTGACCATGAACAAGTAGAACAAGACTCATTTTCTTGCGCTCAAAAGCCTCATACTGGACTCATACTGGTTATATAGGTGACCTCAACCCTCAGGGTCCAGGGTGCACGATTCCCTTCCAGCAGGAATTGAGTGACCAAACATTTGTTTGGTCGGCAGGCGATGGGTGTGTTGTTTCGCAATGTTTCGTGCAAAAAACCCTCCAAGAACAACATCTCTTGTGGTGGCTTGGGCTTCTTGAAAGGGGCTTTTTCTTTTTGCTGCCCTGTTCAACGCCGGTTCTATACAAGGACAGTTGATGGAGTGGTATGGCACCCACTTTGCAAGCAAAAGGTTTTGGACTCCAACAAGGGAGCACAGTCAAGGACCTCAAGGCCTTCATGTTCTTGTCCAAGGTTTTGTTACAACACAGTTCCAGGTATGACACTCCGATGCACTGTTTTAAAAACAGCTATGACAGTTGCGAAGAGCCAGTCTCCTTTGGCAAGGTATTTTGGCATGTGATTAGGGAATCAAGCCACTTTGGGCCAGTCGACTGGCTCATTTGAGGAATTACATCTCAGAGCTGCGGCTGCTTCGTCATGTGCGACATCCAAATATCGTCGCTTGGAGACATCAGGAATCGTGGAGTAGTAGAGGGGTCTGCGAGAATATTGCAACGCCGGAACATGAGATTGCCCAACTCGCCTTTTTTGGCTTTGAGAACAGCAAAATTACACATGTTTGAGAACGAAGAGCCAGATTCAGAGCGCTTTGCCCTCAAGTTTCTTCTACTAAGTGCCTCTCGACCAGATTCATAGGAGGTGTTTGTGTGGGGCTGCCTGGACACGACCTTCGCCCTGCAAATCACTTTCTTCATTGAGCCTCCAAGTTTTTGTCGTTTTGGAACACGGGGACGTTGGGATCCTCATCCTTCCTCGCCATCCGACCGCCTCGCCATCCGAGGTGTCGTTTTTCGGTGCAGCGGTCGATCCAACAAGCCTGGAGCTCATGCTGGTCTTCGAGAAGATGACCGGGAGAGCGTGTGGTGAAGCGTGTGAAGATGGGGCTGGAAAGATCTGGACACGCTGGGAATTGAGGTCCTTATAGTTTATTCCCCAATAGCCATGCTATGGGGGACGGGCGCCGTCGGGTCACCGTCAGAGCTGGTGGGCGGATGGTGTCCCGGTCATGTTTTGATGGCGTCCCGGTCATGTGATTGCTGGTGTCCCGGTCATGTTTTGATTGTGACCCAGTCATGTTTTGATGGCGTCCCGGTCATGTGATGCTGGTGTCCCGGTCATGTTTTGATTGTGACCCAGTCATGTTGTGATGGTGTCCCGGTC